ACAATATTGGTATCAGCTCTTGCGACAAGGCGCGCAGTGCTCTCACCCGGCATTGCGAGAAGGGCGAACGTGGGAGCGGGGTGCCCAGCTACAATATTGGTATCAGCTCTTGCGAGAAGAAGCGCAGTGCTCTCATCCAGCATGGCGCGACGGGCGAACGCGGGAGCGGGGAGCCAGCTACAAAGCAGGTGTGGGCTCTTGCGAGAAGGCGACCGGTGGCAGTTTCTGGCACTGTGTGTGGCACGGCGAACGCAGGGGAGGGCAATCAGCTACAACGCCGGTATTTTTCCTTGCGAGAAAGCGTGCGGGCATCAGCTCGCGTGCGGAAGGGCTGGGAGTCAGTGGAAGCACCTTGCGAGAAGCGGGGGGCGAAGCTGGAACCCAATATTGTCGGGCATTCTGTGGCAAGCCTCTTACGAGAAGCGGGGGGCGAAGCTGGAGCCCACTAGTGTCGAGAGCTCAGGGCCAACCTCTTGCGAGAAGTGGGGGGCGAAGTTAGAGCCCAGTATCGGCGGGAGCTCTGTGAGAAGCCTCTCGCGGGAAGCGGGGGGTGAAGCTGGAGCCCAATTTAGTCGAGAGCTCTGGGCAAGCTTCGTGCGAGAAGTGGGGGGCGTAGCTGGAGCCCAATATCTTAGCAACAACGCTGGCATCAACTCGTGCGAGAAGGGGAAGACAGGCAGTGGCAGCAAGGACTGTCAGGCGTGTCAGCCGTGGTGTAGGCCAAGCTTTTCTGACGGTCAGTGTAAGTGGACGGTATTGTGAAGGAGGTATCCACCATCCCGAACGAGAACGGCCAAGGGTAGACTGATTCGTTATGGGAGTGCGGCCATTCACCAGGAACGCCTATGTAAGTACGGCTTGCAAGGCGTGAGGCGGCTTGCGTGGTGCTTTCCATCTGCGTAAGTCCTAAGTGGCGCAATCCTCCTCCTCCTTCCCTACGCTCGTCTCCTCCTCCTCCTCCTTCTCCTTCTCTTCCACTCTAGCTTTGCGGCCCGAACCCGCGCGGCCTGCCGCGCGTTCGGGCCGCCTGCGATGCGCGAGCCGCTGTGGGGCTGCGGAAAAGGGCCCGCTGCCATCGCGGCCCGTGGCCTGACGGGGGGCCTGTGACGAGGCTGCAGGCGTCGCAGACCATGAAAGTTTCGAGGGCCCCATGGGGTGAAGCGGCCGCAGTGGCAGCCTGCATGCCGAGTGGCGCGGCAAAACCCGACGGACAACACAAAGAAGGCAACGGCCGCTGGAGGCAGCCGCGCCGCGGGCGCTCTTGGCAGAGCAGCCGGGGCCGAGACAACAGGTACAGGGTATGCCCAGAATGCCCGTCCGGGAGCAGGTAAGCATACCACAAGAGGGCGGGCACACCTGATTGGCAAGTGTGCGAAGTACGCGGGCGCACCTAGCCCATGGACCCGAAAACCAGCATCAAAACCAAAAAAGTGCTGCAGACGGTGGGGTTCAGGTCGGACATTTCTCCGGCGATCCAGGCCGCGGTCTGAGGTGCACAGGGGTCCACGGATAAGGCCGCAGCGGGCGCGATGGAAAGCTGGCCAAATTCACCGCCCTGGCGCCAGTTGTGCCCGCGCCAGCGCTTCTGGAGCCCAAGCTGGGTGTCAGACTCGAGGTGGCAGCCTTGAACTGTCGGCAAGCCCAGCGGCAGCAGAAACACATCGCCATGCAGCTCGCGCAGGACGAGCAGAGGAAGAAGGAACTGTTCGAAAAACTGGACGAGTCGATCGAGGATGTGCTGGGGGCCAAACAGGAGTTGGACCGATTGCAGCAGGAGGTGCGACAGGTAGGAGCTGCGCCAGGAAAAGGTCAGGCCGAAGACGGGCACCAGGCGCGCAACGAAGCATTCGGGAGGACTTCCCAGAGCTGTCGCAGGAGGACCTGTAGCTCTTGGATGAGCCCAGCAAGGCCAAGTGCGCTCAGGTAGTGGGGCTAGCTGCCCAGGCGAAGGAGGTGTGCGAGGTGCGCAAGAATCAGGACAGCACGGTCAAAGGGTGTGGCGGGCACGCTCCGCGAGAGTCTGGGCGAGGTTCTAGCCGCGAGCGCCGACGGGGAGATGGAGCTGGACGGGGCGCCGAACTGGTGGGCCCCCAGGGCGCTGCAGAAGCAACCCGAAGGACAATAACGGAAAGGGGTGCGACTTTGCCAGCCTGGGAGAGATGGCCAAGCGCATCGCCAGGGCGGCTGCCGTCGAGGCCCGCCAGAAAGTGGCCAGCGCACCGCGGCCAGTCGCGACTAGCAACGTGGCTGATGTTGGCGATGGCAGTGCTTCAGGCCCAGCAGACTGCGGGCCGGCTGCAGTCATGGACGGACAGCCGCAGAGTCGCAGCATCCATAGTTAATTCATCCGGGGTCGAACAGGCAGATTCGAAGAGGCAGCGCCGCCACGGGGCGCGTCCTGGACCTGCTCGGCGTGGCATCGACCATGGCGCCTGGAGCCCGCCGCAAAGGGGCGCGTCTTGCGCGCCGTGCTGCCTGAAGGGATACAAGGGGCGCCCATCTCCCGCGTGCAGGGCGCGCCAGGTGCCGCGCCGACGTTGCCCGGGGTCGGCCGCGAGGGGGGCTGGGGCGGATGGGCCAGGTCCCGGCCCCCAGCGGGGATGTGGCGGGTCAGGGTCACCCCGCGGGCCCCCGAGCCAGCGAGACTGCGCCCCGCGGAAGATCGCCGGCTACCCTCCCAGTGGGTGGGAATATCTCCAGCGGCTCCCATGTCTGCGCAGCGCCGCGAGGAATGCTGGATGAGGATTGGCCAGATCCTCGCTTCCAGTGGGGCACAGGGGAGGCGGTGCTCCCCCGCGGCAACTGAGGGCGGCGGATCGTCGCGAACCAGAGCGTCCGCGCGTGGAGACGGCATGCAGCTCCCGTCTGGTCGGGCCGCGCGGAGATGGGGCGGCGCGAGGCGGTCCTGGGAGACGCCGACGGCGAGGGCTCGACTTGCGCACGGTTCGAACGGGAACATGAGTGGAGTGTCCACCGCGGGCAGTTGGGGGCCGTTGGCCAAGCGCATGGCGATCGAAATATTCTAGTTCAGCTGCAGTCAGTGAAGCGACGCAACACAGGCGTTCGTTGACGGGGCAGTACATTACTTCGTAGGAATGGGCGAGCGCCACCTCCGGCAACCCCAGCGCGATGCAGGGGGGCAGATGCCTCGGAGAGCGTGGGTGGAGTTCGCCGCGCAAGCGGGCGGCGGCTGTGAGCATGGCGCGCAGGCATCCAGCGCAAGAAGCGCAAGCGGTGCTAGTGGCGCGCGCGGAGACGCGCGCTGGCTGAGACGAAGCGATCTGAACGGATTCGCCCATTTGCCCGACATAATTGGGAGCCGCGTGTTTCGTGCCCCGCTGGAGGGCGAGATTGCTGTCATGCTTGGGCTCGAGTAGCGTGGGTCGTTCGCGTTCGCCCAGTGCCGCCGCGGCTGCAGCGTCGGTTTCGACCCGCCGGAAGGCAAGGCGCGGGCCGTGAGAAACTTCGAATGAGCGTGGATCATGTTGGCGACTTCAACCGTGCACCTGAGGATATGGGGTCATCAGGATGGCCGCGGGTTTTGAATGCGCCGGGCATGGCGCCCCTGGGCGCATTCTCACATGCAATGGCGGCGAGGGGGGCGCGATTGACTTCGCGATGCCTTCGGAAAGCCAGGCAGCACTTTCACCCACAAAATAGAGATAGTCAGGCGGGGCGCAGTTGGGGGCGCACTTTGGCTGCTCGGCTTTGCGGGCATGCAAGGGGCAGCGCGGGCGCGGGCGCCGCGACTGGCCGGCTGGGCTTGACACCCCGAAGAACATTATGCAGGTCGGAGAGGGGGCCGGGCCTGCCCAAAGAGTCCGGCGGGCTGCCCGTTCGAGGCCCTGCGCGCGCTGCCGAGTCGGGGCGCGCTGCGACTGTGCTGCCGCAGTGGGCGGTGGCGCCTCGGCGGAAGAGCCCGCCGGACATGTCGCCAGAGGTGCTGGTAGGCATGCGCTTGGACTTCCGCCCCGCGAGCGTCGCGCGCGCGCCTATCGAGCCGCCCGCGGCGAAGGCGCCCCCCGGCGCGTTGGCTCCAAACCATATGGGCAAGAAGGGCAAGCGCAAGGTCGAGCACGACGAGCTCGCGGAACACCGGGACCGCGGTTTCGGCAAAGGGGGGGCGGCTTTGAAGAAGGGGGGGGGCCGCCAGTTCGGCGCCCCCCGTCGAGGGATGCAGACACGGACGCGCAGACCGCTTCGACGAGCGCGACGTACTCGACGCCTGCAGGGGCCAAAATGACGAGGATAATAGCCGGCCCGACGAGTTTGCGAAGCGCTGGGGCCGCGGGTTCGGCAAAGGAGCGGCCTTCAGGAGGAGGGGCGGGGGGGGCGCCGCCAGTCCGCTACCCCCCGCTGCGGCACTGCAGGAACGGAGGTGCAGAATGCGCTTGCGACGCCATCTGCGAGGACGGCGTGCTCGACGCCAGCAAAATCGGCGACGCTGGCGCCGTGGACAGCTGCAAGGGAGGCGGTCGCCAACCCGTCTTGACGCAGTAGCGCCAAGGGTTTCCGCGGCATGCTTCCCTAAGCGCCTGCGGTGGGCGCAGGCCCGCAGGAGAGAGCAGCTGGATGCACAGGTGGCGGGCGCGGCCAGGGGCCGAAGGAGGGTGGCCCCACCGAGACGCCGCAGCAACCGCGAGCCAAGGTGCAGCGGACAGCGGCCGCAGACCAGCAGGGCAGCTCGAGGGGCCCGTCCATGAGCCAGCTGCTCCAATGAGCTGCCTCGGCCGATGGAGACAGTAGATGAGGCCACATGGTGGCCGATCGGCGCCGTGGGTTGCTGCCTGCTGCGGGCTGAGCCGCGGCAGTCGCGGGCGCGCAGGTAGGCCGCGCGCCGCCTCGGGACGTCGGGGTCGGGGGCGCGGAACGCGCTCCCCCGCACCCGAGAACCGTCCCAAGAGCCGTCCTCCTCCTCCTCCTCCTCCTCCTCCTCCTCCTCCTCCTTTTCCTCCTCCTCCTCCTCGCCTCCTCCTTTTCCTCCTCCCCCTCATCTTCCTCCACCTTCTCCTTCTTCTCCTCATCCTTTCCCCCCTGCTTCTCGCTTTCCGATTTCTTCATTCCGGGGGGCGCTCGTGGCGTGTCGACGGCTGGGCGCGGCTCGACCAGCTGGTCAAGATGCGGTGTCCGGGAGCGGTTTGTGGATTGGCCTTGCGGCAAACATGCCCTTGGCATGGCCACGCCGCCTCCGCGTGGCGGCGACGCTGGCTCGGACGTCCAAGTCTGATGGCAGGCGACGGATTCAACAACAAGCGACTGCGACACCACGGCATGAACACATTTTTTTTTCTGAGCTCGGCGTTTCTTGGGTCGGCGTTGCACCACTCCGCCTTGGCGGGCGGAGCGCGCAATTGGCGGCGCTGGAGGCCGTCTCGGGGGCCCAGCGCCGATGCAAGAAATCGACGCAGAATTCCAACAGTTTATGGTTATGCCGTGTTGTGTTTTTTCCAGGAAGGCGTTCGACGGCGCGATTTCTTGTAGGGTCGATGGCGTAGTGGGAATCCGAGGGCGGAGCTCGTTCCAACGGCTCGCACGGCGGCAGGAGCCACTGCCGACCTCGGGCGGGGCAGCGGCCCGCCGCGGGCGTCGTGCCCTCGTGCTGCGCGCAGTCGTTCGGGTCCACAAGTGATGTTTGTTACGGACGTTTCACGCGTGGCACTTGTATGGGGATATGTGTGGGAGGGACCATTTCTGATATTTGTACACGTTGTTGACCAATCTTGTATGCCAGAGCGGCCCGCCGCGGTCGTCTTGCCCTCGTGTTTCGCGCAGTCGTTCGGGTCCACAGCTAATGCTTATATATGGCAATGCCGGAGGCAATGCCAGGGGCCAGGGCAATGCCGGAGGCTGCCCACTTGTATCGTAAGCAGAAGTTGCTCATCGCGTCGGCCTGCGTGCAAAGCCGGGTTCCCAGCAGTGACGCTGGGGCCGGGCCCGAGGGGCAGGATTGCGGGCAAGTTTGAAATCCATACCATTGGGTTCTGGAGTTTCGGGTTCCCCCCTTCCCCCGGGAACCACATGCGCAGTAGATATGAATGAATGTGTGGCTCTTACGGAGGCCCGATGTTTATCCATATTGATTGCGTTTCGTCCTCTTGGCGTGTCTTCCAATCCGACAGCGCAGTGGATACCAGGGACAACGATAGGGGCGGATATGCATAGGGGGGACGCATCGACCCCCAATCATCCTCTCATCGCCGATAGGGACCCAATACCCCACCTCCGCCCAGGAGCGTGCGGATTTATTATCGGAGGCCTATCGCCGATCTATCTGCGAGGTATCGCCGATTCCAGTTCGATGTTTTTCCTCCAAAAGCCCGTCCCCCCCGAGGAGGAGCAGGAGGTGGAGAAGGAGGATGATGATGAGGAGGAGGAGGTGGAGGAGGAGGTGGAGGAGGAGGACGAGGAAGTGCAGACCCCTCAGGGTATCGGTGCAGATGCTGCGCGCAAGGATCCGGGGCAAGGCGCGGCTTGCGCCGAACGCAGGAGCGGCGGCACCGTCACGTTCGCGCCGGGCTCCACGCCGAGGCGGCCGGACGGCTGCAAGCCTGCCTGGCTGAGGATCGGTGGCGAGTCCAGGGGGGGGGGGGCGCCTGCTAACTTTAAGTCGGGCCTGTCCCTCTATAGGAGGAATATTCAAACATAAAGTAACAACATTGTATGGGGACGATTTTTTATTTCTTTTGTCATTTTGGAATAGTTTTTATTATTTGCAATGTTCATCCAACATCCGCCTGTAGGGGGGCATGCCCGACCTAATGCTAAGTGGGGTCAGCTTTCTGGGGGTCAGGAACAGGTACGCTCCATTCCCTAGCCTGTCCTTGCTCGGGGCCTTGTTTTATTTGTCGCTGTCCATGTCTGCCTGTTTTTGTCAAGGGTCGTTCCTGTGGACGTTTTTGGGCTGTGCTGGTATGTTTCTCAGAACATCTTGGTCCTTTAGCTTGCACTTCGCTGACTCTGACCCCCAGAAGTCGGATGCCCATTCGCGGTGGAATGAGGGAAAGTCAGATGGGGCGGGCCTTCTCAGAAGGCTGAGAAGGCTTCGGGCCTCCCGAACATTTTTTCTCAGTCTTTTCCGAGACGCAGCTTCACCGAGCGCGTTCCACCATTCGTTAAGCGCCTACCTACTCGCAAACTTCCGAAAGAACGCGTGTGTGCCTCGTCTTACTGTTTCGTGATTCCTGTCGCGAGGCATCCAGGCCATTTGCGTGTAGCATGTTTTTCGGATCGTGGAGCGTTCTTGTCTATTCTCAGAACGCTCGGAAGGCCTCCCTGGCCTCCCGAGAAGTTGCCTGAGCCTCCGACGCAGACGGCCTCTTCTCAGGAGGCTGAGAGGGCTTCTCAGAAGGCTCGCCGCCTTTTGAGGAGGTCTGCCCCCTCTCCCCCCCCCCCCGGCTCGCCGCCGAGAGGAAGTGGAGCGCGCGGCTCCAGACCGAGGGCGAATCGTGCGGGAGGGCCAGGATCCGGGCGCCCGTCAGTTGCAGGGGGGGGGGGGCGGGGGGCAGGGCGCGCGGGTGCGGGCGAGAGAGAGAGAGAGAGAGAGAGAGCGAGAGAGAGGGCGAGGCAGCGAGAGATCGAGACAGAGAGAGAGAGAGAGAGAGAGCGGGAGAGACAGCGGGAGAGCCAGCGAGAGAGAGCTCGGACAAGCAGGCGGGAGTCCGGTGCGCCTGTCGTCTCCTCCTGGGCACGCGGCGGCAGCTCCCGGGAGCCGCCCAGGGCCCCCTCGGGGCCACCCCTCCGCCGTCCTCCGGACCCCCCCCTCCCGCGCGTTGACTGCCCCGCCCCCCCAAATGCCGCCCGCCCGGCAGGAGCGACAGCGACGTGCTGCGCACCGTCCCGGGCGGGACCTCCGCGGGCAGGTGCGCCAGCGAGCCCGCCGACGCCCGGCAGGCCGGCGCTCCGGCGGGCGCCGGAGGCGAAGCTCTGACCTCCGTCGGGAAGCCGCTGCAGGCCAGCAGCGTCTCGCCTACCCCTCCCGAGTGCTGGAGAGCAGCACTTCAGGCCCGTGGACCCCTCTGGACTGCTCAGGCCTCGACGGGAGTTTGGGTGTCCAGGTCCAGGAGCTCTTCTTTCTTAGGAGGGAAAAACACACAGTCACAATTAATTGTCGATCCCCAGGAACATATGGGAAAATATGGGAAGTGGGGGGTACGACAAAAGCCCAGAAAATATGGGAAAATATGGGGCATCTTTTTATTTGTGTGTATGTATTTGTGTGTTTGTGGGCCCCTTCACTTTCGCCCTCCTGGGAGGTCAGGGCTTTGCCGATCCCCCTCCCCGGTGGGCCATGGCGCCTCGGCCCCACCAGCCGCCAGCCAACCCCCCCCAGGTCCTTTGGCATCGCTCGGGCGTGTGCATTTTTTCCTTCGGCGCGGACCATCGATGAGCATCCTTGATCATTTTTACCAGCCTCGAACGTATCCCTAACCCTAAGATTGACACGACAAAAGGCGATGACAATCTTAGGGATTCGCCCTCAAAAAAGTAAGGGAATCCCTAACATTGGCATCGTGATGAGGCGATGCCGAACATAGGGATAGGGATATGTTCCAGGCTGGTAACATGTGGCGCAAAAACCACGCACGAAACCGAAGAAAGCACAGGGAATGGACGTCCGAGCGATGCCCAGCAGGTGTGGATGCAGTCGCGGCGCTGGAAGGAGGACCCCTTTGGGCTCGGGAGGGGCTCGGGTCTCCGCGGCCGTGACGCGCTGGGTTTACAAGTCGGGCCTGTCCCTCTGCAGGGGGGAAAATTCAAACATATTATAAAAAACACATCTTCAGGAGACGATGTTTTGAGTATCTTTGGCCTTTCTGGGTGTATGTTTGGTACTTTTGTAGTTTTTTCGATCAGACTCCGCCTGTAGGGGGACACGCCCGACCTGCTTCGGGGGGAAACTATTCGTGGGCGAAGCTCGCCGTGGCCATCAAAGCCCCTTCGTTCCCGATTCAGCGTTCCTGCTGGTAGCACGACGACTGCAGGGCCCTCGAGGCCCGAAGGGAGGATTACACACTGCCACCCGGTGGACTCAGATGGCCGGTGGGACCGCTGCCATGCAGTGGGGATGGGCATCGGCTCGACGGCGCTCCGCAGGGGCTCCTTCATGCCGGCCTGCACCGCAAGAGGAGGAGCCAGGGCAGCCTCTGCATGGAGGCGCTCGCCGAAGAGCTGGAGGATCGGGGGCTGATGGAACCCCTTCCCTGCCACTAGTCGGTCAGCGAATCCTCCTGTGGGGTCCCTTCTCGGCTTCTCGGGAGTCGAGAGGGCGACGTGCCCGCCACCTTCTGCGGGCTTGCGCCTGCAGGGTTTGGTCAGCAGGACTCTCCCACCAAAAGGTGTTTTGCAAAGGTAGGTTTAAGTTGGGCCTGTCCCTCTACAGGAGGAGGAGTCAAAGATTGATAGAAAATAGCCTGGGGACAATTTGTCGGACACGTTCCGGCTATTTTGGGGTATCTTCTGAGTATCTTCATGTTTCGCCCACGATCCGCCTGTAAGGGGAACCGGCCCGACCTAAAGGCAGGTTTGTTCCGTGCCCTCCCAGCGGCGACCCCTCCGCGGGCGCTCAGGGTGGAACGCCGCCACATAGGCTCTGGACTGGCCAGCATGGAACGAGCTGCCGACCGCAACGCCGCGGGATCGCTGCAGGCTGAATGATCCGCGCGGTTCAGCCACGTGCAGAGGGGGGCAGGGGGAGGGGGAGGGCTTCTTAGAAGCACCCCTGCTTCTTAGAAGGCGCGGGCCTTCTCTACAGATGTAAGGCCGGCGCCTTCTACGAAGCAGCCTCCTAAGAAGCCCTCCCCCCTCCCTCCACCCCCTTGTGCGCGCCGCCAAGCGGTGGCAGAGACCGAGGCCGGTGTCGTCGCGGCGCGAGCCTGCCGTGCAGAGGCCCCCGTCGGAGCCCGAGGCCGCCCGATAGCCACGCCCGGGTTCCCCTCCGCCGTCGGAGCGCGTCACGCTTCCTCCCTCCCGCCCTCTCCGCGGCCGCCCGGTGCTCGACACGCTGGCCCGTGCGCCCTTCGCCCGAGAAGCCGCAGCCGTCGCCCAGGCTGGGGGCGCGGTGCGCGTTCGCCATCGCGCCCTTGTCGCGGAGGATGAGGAGGGGGTCGGCAGGAGGAGGAGGAGGAGGAGGAGGAGGAGGAGGAGGAGGATTTGGAGGAGGAGTTGGAGTTGGAGGAGTTGGCGGAGGAGGAGGAGGAGGGGGAGGAGGGGGAGGAGGAGGAGGACGAGGGGGAGGGAGAGGTCGCGCTTCATGTATTGCCACCGTCAACAGGGGGAGGAGGAGGAGGAGGGGGAGGAGGTGGAGGAGGAGGAGGAGGAGGAGGAGGAGAAGGAGGAAGAGGAGGAGGAGGAAGAGGAGGAGGACGCTCGCGAGGCTTGACCTCGAGGGCGCCCCCCTCCCCAGACACCCGAGGCTCTGATCTGTCACATGGTCGGCCCGCTTAGCTTCGACCGGAAGAGGTGCGCTCTCGACCCGCGAATCAAAAAGTGTTTACCATGGTTCGGTTCCGCCGACAGCGCGCAGCTTCTGTGGGCCCTCGTCTCTGCTTAAGCCGTATTCAGTGGCCTCGGTGGACACGCACACGTTGTTGCTGGCACACTTTCTGAGGATCACTGACCTGAAAGCGGCCCCTGGAGGCCGAGATTTAAGAGGCGCGTCTGGACTGCCAAACATCAGAGTGTCGGAGATTCGAAAGACCCGCCCTCCTCTACCACCCCCCCACCCCTCGTCCACTCCCGGGAGGAGATCGCCGGCGACGGCTCGGTCTCGATCGCTGACCTCTCCACCTGCGACGAGCGCAACAACACACCCATGGCCGCGGACGAGGGCGCCTCGCACGCCAGCGCCCCGGACAGCGAACCGGCCCCTCTCGCGGAGGAGCCCGAGCCGAGGGGGGAAGAAACGGCATACCCATCGTTGAGTCGGATTTCATCAGCGGAGGAGAAGGTTGGAGACAGCTGGAGGGGCTCAGGTTGCCCAGCCCTGTTTCCGGCCAGCAGAGGAGAGCAGACAAGGGGCCACACGTCGCCACGTCTGGACGCCGCTCGAGAAACTCGTCTGTTTCGACCCCGGCAGGCGTCTGGGCTTCTGGGGGACCGATTTGAGCGAATTTGTCTTCATCACCCCCTGTTGACACATTTTGTTTGTGCCAATCCAGTTCAGATCACCTGGCCTCCGCATCCAACGATACCGCTACCCTCGCCTCGTTTTCGCCGTTTGGGCCTTCTGGACGGCCCTCGTTGCCACTGCGGGTTTCGCTTTGGAATCCCAGTCAGAATGCGCCCTTGTAGCCAGGGCCCAGGAACCCCCCTCGTCGTTAAAGAGCTCGACGAGCGTTTTTTAAACAGCTACGTTTGGCCTCTGGGGGGCCCTCACTGGGCCCCTCCGGGACCGTTCAAATCCACTCCACTCAGGACGAACATTGGGTCCTGGGGAGGGGGTCGTTTCCTTTGGGTGCCGACGTTGTGAGAGCACGATGGCGCCGGGGGTCTGGGTACTCATCGCACGTCACAAGTCAGTGTTCTGGCCCTCCCAGATCCCAGTCTTCGGGCGCTCGACTCCTGCTTCAGGAGTCGAGCGCTCTCCCCTCCCCTCCCTTCCCTTCCCCGTGGGGCGTGCCGGGGTCCAGCCAACATTCTCTCGGCGCCCTCCTAAGCACCCGCTGCTTCTGCCCAGCTCTGCGGTGCGATGGGCACACGCGTGTCTTCGGCTCTCCTCGGCTCCACGCGGGGCCTCCCCCCCCCCCCCGGCGCCGCGCTGCGCGCGCCGCTCTGGGCGCGCCACGCGCGCGCGCCGAGGGGGAGGGATGAGGGCCAGATTTGGATCCGAGTCTGGCGCGGGCCTCCAGCTTTGGTCTCACGCGTACAGTTACCAGCCTGGAACATACCCCTATCCCTATGTTTGACATCACCTCACCTCGATGCCGATCTTAAGGATTCCCTCAGTTTTTGAGGGCCTATCCCTGAGATTGTCTTCTCTTTTTGCTTGCCCATCTTAGGGATAGGGATACGTTCGAGGCTGGTTATACAATGCGAAAGAATCCACGTGTATCAGACGTGTGCCTGTGCGAGGGTTCGAGCTCGACTACGGTTGGGCGGTCTCGCGGGCCGTTTTTGCGCTGCGATCTCGTCTTGCGGAGAGGCATGTGCGAAGACAGAGCACCGAGCAAGCACGAAGACAGAACACATTGTTTAGCTCGAGCCTTGGCCTGTGTCACTGTGATCGTTTTCTTATTCAGTGCCTTGCCGATCGGCGCGGGCCCTCGCACACCCCTTCCCCTCATGGAGTAGATCTTGGCTGTTTGGGGGGCGCCCGTTTCGAGCGGGTGGGGTCTCCCCCGTGGGACGCGCGGCTTTCAAAACGGCCGCGCCAAGCAGAGGTTCGGCGCCAGGCCCCCCCCCCTCCCCCCTCCTTTCCGCCCAATGTCGAAACGCCGAATAAGAAAACGCTCACTCCTGCCATCCCTCCCCTCGGGCCGGACGAACTGGGGGGATCGGAAAAGGGGGGGCTGGGAAAGGGGGGGTTGGGAAAGGGGGGAAAAGTCAGCCACGTGAGCTGATTCTGACCCCCCGCCTTTGCTGCCCCTACTCCCACTGGTCCTGCATTCTGTCTGACACACACTCCTCCCTTCGAGAAGTCAAACAGCTGCATGCACATGAACTGTCTGAGTTCGGCGCGGATTTCTAGGACCTGCGCCGGAAGCTTCCTCCCTGGCGCGCGCCGCGCGCCAGGGGCGCCGCCACGGTGGCCGAGGCGCCGATCCGAGAAATCAGCGCGGAGCCCCCCTCGCCCGACCCGATCCTCCCATGTTCCCACGGTCCCCCGCAACTTTCGCAATGATGAGGGGGCCCCCCTGTGTGAGCAGAGGATGGCAGCCCTACTGGCCAGAATTAAGGCCGGAGGGGCCGCGGATTCGATCTCGGTGGCGTAGCTGCTAGAATGCCAATTGCCTGGTGCGTTCACCTTCCGACCTCTCCTGAGGCGCTGTCTATCTTCAGGAGGGACAGAAACACACCGACACAATTCATCGCCGATCCCCAGGAAAATATGCGAACATGTGGGAAGTGGGGGGGGAAGACGAAAACCCAGAAAATATGCGGAAATATGGGGAATGTTGTTACGTGTGTGTGTGTGTGTGTATTTTTGTGTGTTCTGGGGCCCCTTTATATCTATCCTCCCCTCGCGGCGAGGCCCCGGCGTGGTACTCCACGGAGGGCTCCTTCGTGTCGGGCCACGCGCTGCTGCCGGGGCTCCGTTGGGCGAGCCCCGTCCGGGCGCCCAGGAGCAGGGCCAGGGCCTCGCCGGGCCGGCGGGAGGGCCGCGCGGGGGCCAGGCACAGGAAGGAGAAGAAGGAGAAGGCGCTCAAGGGCCACTCGTCATGCCTGTGAAGAGCAGGAGGGCCAGGGGAATAAGCAATGATATTATATATAATATATATATATATATATATATATATATAATACACAGATGTATATATATATATATATAGGTATATAGACATAAGAACTAAACATAAAAACTCGGAGGTCCGCGCGGATTTCTCGGATCGGCGCTGGGGCCCCCCTCCCTGGCGCGCGGAGCGCACCAGGGGCGGCGCCGGAGGCGCCGCCGGGGGCCCCGGCGCCGATCCGAGGAATCCGCGCGGACCTCCGAGATTTTATGTTTATGTTACTTTTTCTTCCCCTAGAGAAGGCGCTCAAGGGCCACTCGTCATGCCTATGAAGAGCAGGAGGGCCAGGGGGACAAACATTTATATATATATATATACATATACATGTGTATGTACACAAATATATTGGTATATAAGCATAAAAACTCGGAGGTCCGCGCAGATTTCTCGGATCGGCGCTGGAGCCCCCCTGGCGGCGCCTCCGGCGGCGCTCTGGCGCGCTCCGCGCGCCAGCGAGGGGTGTCCTGCGCGGATCCGAGAAATCCGCGCGGACTGCCGAGATGTATGTTTATGTCATTGTTCGTTCCCCTACAGAAGGACAAGGCGCTCAAGGGCCACTCGCCATGCCTGTGAAGAGCAGGAGGGCGGCTGGTCAATTCGTGCAGCCACTCGAAGGTGAGGCCGTCCGCAGAACAGAATCGGATGTGGCCAGGACGAGGACAAGTCCTTTCCACAGCGTTCCGGAACGCTCTGAGAGGGCCGCGGCGCTCGAGACATCCTCCAGATCCGCCGGGTCTCAGAGATTCTCGATGTATCCTCACCCGATGTTGTCCTCGCCCTGGCTTCGTCTTACAGACTTCTGTAATTTGGCAAGGTGAGCGAAATGGGCGAGTGCCTGCGATCCGTGTCCGTTCCTGGGAAACAGGGTGGCGGTCCAGGTGCGAGGTGTTTGTCAGCAGCTCTCTTGGGTGTCTCTCGTGTAGGACTGGGCCGCGTATAGACCAGGCTCGATTCACTTTTTACCTGCCACGCCCGAGGGCGGTGCCCGCGATGCCCGAGGGCACTGCATGCGCGGGGGCAGTGTAGTTTCATTGCTGTAGTTTTAGCTGAATGGCAGTCGTCGTCTACAAGGTAGTTGTAGCTGCCACGGCAAGGTGCTCGTACACTTGCCCTGACGCGCACATCCGCCGCCACAGTCCAGCAAGCTGTGCAGCAACGCTTCAGCGTGGCACGACTGTGACGCAGCAGTGCCACTCTTGGGGTCCTCTTCGAGGCCTCCCGGGGGCCTCCGTGTAGCCACTGGTGGCCTCTTGGAGCCCCTTCAAGGAATCTTCAGCTGCCTGCAGCAAGTCCCGCAACTGTGTGAGCGCAGCATTCCGTCTGGCGATGCTTCGAGCAGAGTTGGCCGTAACCTCCTTGTGACACCTCTTTGTTTTATTCCTTGAGGGGCTCTATGCGGCAGTGTCCGGGCCGTCTTGGGGCTGTCTTGGACTCCCGTGAGGCTCTCTTCGGGTCCTCTTTGGGCCCTCTCGGGCCGTCCGGGGAGTCGATTTTTAGGTCGCCTCCTGGGGGCGCGAGATTGTGTCTCCCGCGTCGTGGTCTGGGTCGGAGGGTTGTCTTTCTCTCGGGTGGTGTTGCATGGGCGCGGAGCTTTCCGCCCGTGCTTCGTCGAACGACGCATGCCCAGGCGTCCTCGGTATCGGCCGAGTCGGGTCGGGCTGGGCTTGGACGGGTTGGGCTAGGCTGGGATCCCTCTCTCCCTCCCTCCCCTCCCTCCCTCCCGACCTGTTGAGTTCCAGGTAGCCTGTGGGAGGTGCGATGATTGTCGCGTCGCGGGCTGGGCCGGAGGGTAATTCTGTTCTAGGGCTGTGTTGCGTGGGCGCGGAGCTTTCCGCGCGTGCTTCGAGGAGCGCCGCACGCCCTCTGGCGACCTCGATATCGGCCGAGTCGGGTCGGGATGGGTTGGGTCGGCTGGGCAGGGCCGGGATCTTATCTCTCCCTCCCTTCCCTCTTTCCCTCCCTCCGTCCCTCCGGCTCCGTCGAGTTCCAGGCCGCTTTCCGGAGGCGCGGGGAGAGTTCTGCCCTTAAGTCGCGGAATGGGCCGGAGGGTTGTCCTTCTCTCTGGAGGTCGTGCGTGGGTTTGGCTTTTCCTGCGTGCCGAGTTTCGGGGATTGACGCGTGCCCTCAGGCGACCTCGATCTCGGCAGAGTGGGAAGGTTTGGCTGGGTCGGGTAGGGCGTGGCTGGGCTGGGATCCCTCTCTCTGGCCACCCTCGGGAGGGCCCTGATCTTGGTTTCTCGCACAGGCTGACACCCACGTTGTGCTTTGCCACGCGGCGTGCCAGGACCGGGTAGGGCCCCCTTGCGTCGCACTGCGGGCGCCCGCTTGGACCCTCCCACCCTCCCCGCGCTCCTGGCTGCGATCGTCCACGTAGCCCTTGGAGGCCGCTGAGGCGCGCCAGGACCCCGAGGCGGGCTTGACTCCAGTGTCCCCGGATGCCGTGTGGGGTGGGCTGGGGGCGCTCTCTGGGCCTTCAGGAGCTGGCCGGGAGATCCGCGTTCTGCGGCGGCCGACCCGAGGGCTCGCGTGGAGGCGATCTTTACCAGCCTCGAACGTATCCCTATCCCTAAGGTTGACACGCCCAAAGGCGATGACAATCTTAGGGATTCGCCCTCAAAGAATATGGGAATCCCTGAGATTGGCATCGTGAAGAGGAGGTGCCGAACATAGGGATAGGGATATGTTCCAGACTGGTAAGATCTCTCTAGGATCGCTGCGTGGCTGCCCGTCGTGGGAGCCCTCTTGAGCCCTGCCTCCCCTAGAGGGCTCTCTGTCGGAGGTTGACAGACCTCCTACCCTGACACGTCGATTAAGGAATTGGCCGTTGTCGATTCGCGAGAGGGCGTCGCGGCCGTCATTTTTGCAGGTCCAGGTCCGTCGGTTTCGGTCCCAGGCTGTTTTCACTAAGGGGAGGTCTCTTAAAGGGAGGTTTGTCCACCGCCTACTCTGGCCCTCCTGCGGGGGCCGGGGCTGGGACAGGACAGGGTCCCTCGGGAGAGCGCCTTCTGCCCGGCAGCCTCGCCAAAGGTGCCGTGCCCGCGGCCTCACACGAGATCCGAAAGGGTCCAGCCAACCAACCAACCTCCCTCCCTCCCTCCCTCCCTCCCTCCTTCCTCCCTCCTCCCTCCTGCCTCCTGCCTCCTACCTCCTTCCTCCTTCCTCCGATCCTCCCTCCCGCTCCTCCTCCTCCTCCTCCTCTCTCCTCCTCCCCCTCCTCCTCCTCCTCCTCTCTCCTCCTCCTCCTCCTCCTCCTCCTCCTTCTCCTCTGCTCCTCATCGTCATCATCATCATCATCAGCAGCAGCATCATATCAGTATAATCACCAGTCCCATCACCAAAATTACCAAGATCGTAGTTCCATCCTTGTCCTCATCCTCCTCATCGCCATTGTCTTCTTCTCCTTCTCCTCTGGGGCCCTCTCTCTCCTCAGCCCCTTCCTCATCCTTCTCCTCCTCCTCCTTCTCCTCGTCCTCCTCCTCCGCCTCCTCCTCGTCCGACCGCACAGGGAGCGTCTCACGAGAGGGCGGGGGCCGCCTTCTCGCTGGCGTCATCGGGCGGCGCACGCTCTACGGCCCGCGGGCAGAGAGCGCCCGCGCGGGTGGCGGATCGCACGCCACGGGGTTCCCGCTGTGGCGCGGTTGAGCCTCAGTCTAGCTCTTTTTTGTGCTCGTGCGCAGGTTGCTACAACAGGCTGAGATGCGTGTTCACGGGACTGCGCTGCGCATACGTGCGAGGAGGAGAAGGAGGAGGAGAAGGAGGAGGAGGAGGAGGAGGAGGAGGAGGGAGGAGGGAGGAGGGAGAAGGGAGGAGGGAGGAGTGGGGGAGGGAGGGAGGGAGGAGGGAGGGAGGGAGGGAGGGAGGGAGGGAGGGAGGGAGGGAGGGAGGGAGGGAGGGAGGAGGAGGAGGGGAGGGGGGGCGAGGAGGAGGTGCAGGAGGATGAGGAGGGGGGATGAGGATGAGGATGATGATGATGATGATGATGATGATGGTGATGATGATGATGATGATGATGATGATGATGCTGATGATGATGATGCTGATGCTGATGTTGATGTTGATGTTGATGTGAGTTGATGCTGACGATGATAATCGTGATGATGATGCCGCTTATGAGGATGATGATGATGCTGATGCTGATGATGATGAAGATGATGGGGATGATGATGATGATGATGATGTTGATGATGATGATGATGGTGGTGGTGGTGATGATGATGATGGTGATGATGATGATGCTGATGATGATAATAATAATGATAATGCTGAGGATGATGATGATGATGATGATGATGCTGATGATGATGATGATGATGATGATGATGATGATGAGGATGAGGATGAGGATGAGGATGATGATGATGATGATGATGATGATGATGATGATGATGATGATGATGATGATGATGATGATGATGATGATGATGATAGGGGGAGGAGGATGAGGAGGAGGAGGAGGAGGAGGAGGAGGAGGACAGAGAGGGCCCCAGAGGAGGAGGAGAAGGAGGAGCAGGATGGGGAGGAGGAGGAGCAGGAGGAGAAGACCATGGTGATGATGAGGACGAGGACGAGGATGTGAGGATTACGATGTCAGTGATTTTTGTGATTGGACTGGTGAACATACTGATGCTGCTGCTGATGTTGAGGAGGAGCAGGAGGAGGAGACGCAGGAGGTGGGGCTGCGGCAAAGGGGGGAGGAGGGAGGAGTTGGAGGAGGATGAGGAGGAGGCTGAGGAGGAGGAGGAGGAGGAGGAGGACCCCAGACCCCTTCGCCTCGTGACCAACATCACTGCGCATGGTTTTGGCATGGCCTCCAGGGGACCTTGCATGGCAGGGCCCTAGGAACGTCGACGAACGATTCGGGCTGGCATGCTGTTCCTGGGGCTGGGGTCGAGACCTCCAGGGGGCCTG